ATCCCTTTCTTCCATCCTTTCTTCCTTCTTCCCTCCCTTCCTCCCTCCCTTTCTTCCATCCTTTTCTCCTTCCTTCCTCCCTCCCTCCCTCCCTCCCTTTCTTCCATCCTTTTCTCCTTCCTTCCTTCCTTCCTTCCCTCCCTCCTTCCTTCCTTCCTTCCTTCCTTCTTTCCTCCCTCCCTCCCCTGCCTGCCTTCCTCCCTCCCTCCCTCCCTCTCTTTCTTTCTTTCTTTCTTTCTTTCTTTCTTTCTTTCTTTCTTTCTTTCTTTCTTTCTTTCTTTCTTCCTTCCTCCCTCCCTTCCTTCTCTCCCTCCTTCCTTCCTTCCTTCCTTCCTTCCTCCTCTTTCCTTCCTCCCTCCCTCCCTGACAGAAATTCCAGCCGGATCTGGCAGCCGGGAGCAGCAACACAGCCGCCACCTTCGTGCCCAACCTCAACGCCATCACCACCAGCCACAGCCTGCAGTGGATGGTGCAGCCTTCCCTGATGGGCGCCTCTTCGGGACTCCCTCCTTTCCCGCGGCCTTATCGCTGCCCGCACTACGCAGCCGGCATCCGTCCTGGCGTGATTCGCACCATGGGCCCGGGCTCAGTGCCTCGGAGGCGTCACTCGGAGCACGTGAGTGTTGGGGGGGGAAAGAAAACTCCGCAACAACATCGGGCTAATATTTTATCTGCCCGCTGGTTTGTTTTCATTCTGCTTTCCGTATTTTTATAAATAACTCGAGGACTAGAACAAGAACGAAGGAGAAACTTCCTGACAGTGAGAACAATTAACCAGTGGAACAGCCTGCCTCCAGAAGCGGTGAATGCTCCAACACTGGAAGTTTTTAAGAAGAGACTGGACAGCCATTTGTCCGAAATGGTACTATAGGGTTTCCTGCCTGCCACCGCATCCACTTGTTCACTTGTTCAGGCAAATCTTGAGAAACAACTTTATTTTCCAACTTTATTGTTATTATTATTATTAATTCATGGCGGAGTTGACGTTCTCACAGCTCAACAGTTGCCAGATTTGAAAAAACTCTCGTCGCAGTTCAGTTTGCACCCCTGCCTGTGTCAAATACGAGCAGTCCTCGAACTTACAGCCGTTTGTTTAGTGACCATTCAAACTTACAACAGCACTGAAAAAAGGGACTTGGGGCTGTTTTTCATCCTTATGACAATTGCAGCATCGAAATTTCATCACTTGGCAGCCGACTCACATTTATGACGGTCGCCGTGTCCCGTGATCTCCTTTTGCGACTCTCTTGGCGAGCCAAGTCAATGGGGAAGCCGGATTGACTTAACGACCGTGTTCCTAGCTTTATAACCGCAAGCGATTTACTTAACAACCGTGGCAGGGAAGGTTGTAAAATGGGGCAAAAATTCACTGAACAGCGGTCTCGCTTAGCCACAAGAAATTTTGGCGTCACTTGTGGTCGTAAGTCGAGGACTACCGGTCATTTTTAAAAGGAAAAAGCTCGGAGCCCGTTTTGGAGGGGGAAAAAAGTAGAAACCCTCAAAACTGGAAGAAAAAAAAAACCCAAGTTATCTTGGATTGTCCTGGTATTTTGCGCCCCCTCCTGGCCATGAGGTGACATAATCATTCTGATAACGGGAATAACAGAGCTGGAAGGGACCTTGGAGGTCATCTAGTCCAACCCACTGCTCAGGCAGGAAGCCCTATACCGTTTCAGACAAAATGGCTGTCCAATCTAGGATCTACGGATCTAGGATCTATAGAGATGGGTCCACCCCTCTCACTTGGTGCTCTGATTTGATCCTGCTTCTCCACAAATTCAGGCTGGAGAGTGGGGATGATGGGAGATGTATTCCAATAATCCCGAAAGTGAAAAAAAAACACCAAAATCACATTCATCAACCGCTTTTTAACACACCGCCATCTTGCTTTTACGGTCTGGAGGTTCAATCCAGGCTCAGCCAGAATCGGTCTGGTTTGAAAAACCAGATTTTGCACTGCTAAGCAAGGCGGTGGCAAAGTGAGTCGCGCCCAATTCTATGACTTTTTTTTTCCCCACCGTTGTTAAGCGAATCACACGGTTCTAAAGTGAACCTGGCTTCCCCATTGACCTTGCTGGTCAGATCGAAAAAGGGGATCACGTGACATTTGTTAGGTGGGTTTTGCCTCATTTTATAATCTCTCCTACCACAGTTGTTAAGTGGAACCTTGCAGCTGTTAAGTTAGGAACACCGTCGTTAAGTGAATCTGGCTTCCCCATTGATTTTGCTTGTCAGAAGGTCGCAAAAGGGGATCATATGACCCCGGGACACGGCGACCGTCGTAAATACGAGTCAGTTGCCAAGCGTCTGAATTTTGATCACCTGACCCTGGGGAGGCTGCAACGGTCGTAAGTGTGAAAAATGGTCATAAGCCACTTTTTTCACTGCCGTTGTAACTCCGAACAGTCACTAAGTGAATCGTAAGTCGAGAATTAACTTTATCTTGGTATCTTGGGTGTGTGATTGTATTGCTGCCTGTTTGCAGAGCTTCCCCAAGTCCTTCTGAAGCAGTGCAATTGCACGCGGGGTTGTGTTACACACTGTGCTGCTCCAGGGACGGTGGCTTCGTGTTGTGTAGTTGTGACTCCAGACTCTCGTTTGCAGCTTAGCCCGGAGGAGGAAGAGCGACGGCGTTTGCGGAGGGAACGGAACAAGCTGGCAGCCGCCAAATGCCGCAATCGGCGCAAAGAGCTGACCGACACGTTGCAAGCGGTGCGTTCAAGACAAGCGGGATATTTTAATTGCCTTAGCACAACAGTCTGCCATAGGCGAGGGGGGAGGGGTCAGATTGGATGACCTCTGAGGTCCCTTCCAGGTCTTGCAGGCTGAGCTTGCAAAGGATGGACAGGGTCCTGCAATAGAATAGAATAGAATAGAATAGAATAGAATAGAATAGAATAGAATAGAATTATGGGATAGAATAGAATAAAATAGAAAAAGCTGGAAGGGACCTTGGAGGTCTTCTAGTCCAGCCCGCTGTCCAAGGCAGGAGACTTTACAGCAAGGGGTCTGCCAGAATTCCCCAGCCAACATGGCTGCCCGGGGAATTCTGGGAGTTGAAGTCCACCCATCTTAAAAGTGGCAACTTTGGAGACTCCCCCCTTATACAAGGCAGTCCTCGACTTATGACCAATCCACTGAGCCCCAAATTTCTGTCACCAAACGAAACATTTGCTAAGCAAATTTTGCCCCATTTCACGACCTTTCCTGCCACCGTCGCTAAGCGAATCGCTGCAGTTGTTAAGTTAGTCACATGGCTTCCCCCGCTGACTTTGCTTGTCCGAAGGTCGCCAAAGGGGATCACGGGACCCCGGCACACACTGCGACCGTCATAAATAGGAGTCAGTTGCCAAAGCGTCTGAATTTTGATCCCGGGACCACGGAGGACGCTGCAACGGTCGCAAGGGTGCAACATGGCCCTGAGTCCCTTTTTTCAGGGCCCTTGTAAATTACAACAGTTCGTCGTAAGTCGAGGACTACCTATATATTCCGGTCAACTAGTTTTCCGGTCCGTTTGGGGAAAACCTCCTAGCAAGGGAGCCCCCAAACATCTGAAGAATGGGATTCCTACCCTCCCCCTGGTCTAAATCCCTTCTGTTATTCATTCCCCCCCCCCCGCCAGGAAACGGATCAATTGGAAACCGAGCAGTCGGGCCTCCGGAAGGAAATTGCGGAACTGCAGAAACAGAAAGAACGTCTGGAATTAGTGCTGGAAGCCCACCGACCCATCTGCAAGATCCTGGAAGAATCGTCCGGAGATGAGGGGGGCCACAGCCGGCCAGCCGGCCCCTCCCAACTGCTGGACAAACAGGAGTCTCCTCCGGGCCCCCGGCATGGCTCCCGCCGGACGGCCCCGGTGCCCCCCAGCATCACGCTGCCCCCCAGCGGCCTGCTGGAGCCCGAATCCCTGCACACCCCCACCCTCATGTCCACCCCGTCTTTCACCCCGTTTACCCCTAGCCTGGTCTTCACCTACCCGGCGCCGGGGGACTCCGATGGGCCCTCGGGGTCCGGCTTTCCCTCCGAGCCCTGCTCCTCCGCCCACCGAAGGAGCAGCAGCGGGGACCACTCCTCGGATTCGCTCAATTCTCCAACCTTGCTGGCGCTTTGAGGAACAAGCTGGATTCGAATCTTGTGCACGGTTTTTTTGGGGGGGGTGTCAAGAGGGTTAACCACCCTTCCTGGCCCCTCTGACTATACCCGATTCTCTTTGGCCTCGCTTTTGAGAGCCCTGTAGTTACGGGCCTCCTGTTTCCCCGCCCAGACGCAGGCGTCAAGTTGCTAGTCCTCAAGAGCAGCCAGGAGCCTCTTTTCTTTGGTTCGGAAGGCCCGCTGTCTGGAAAACCCAAATTCCAACCAACGTTATGTTCTTTCACGAAACACTAAAATATATCTCTTACACAGGCCTCTTGTCCTCACACTTGTGTTGTTTATAAGGCCCAAGTGGCTAGTCTTCAAGACTGACTGGTCAGTCTTTTTTTTTTTTTTTTTTTTCTTTTGATGCCCAGAATCTTCTTTCTGGAAAACGAGCAGGGCTTTTCAGGTCCTTCGATCACGTTCAAGAAAAAGAAATCGCCATTTTAAAGTCGTTTTTCACTTTATATCTGATTTTTGAAACCAAGAGAAGAAATTTAGGACAAATATAGATTTATTTTTCTACAATGACTTACAGCCAGCGGGATGAAGTGGGATGCATTTCTTTGTGGTCCAGAACTGAAGCTGGTTGGATATACTGTATATATTATTATATATAAACATACAAGTGGTCTTATTTTTCCTGATGCCTCATGAAAGTTGCATTACAAGGGATGTTTGGACAAAGTTGTGATGGTTTTGTGCAGTTTTCGACGCTGGTGGTCCTTGATCACTTGAAGCTTCTGCAAAAAGGAATTGATACAAAGATATATTGTTATTTTTTTGTGTCTTCAAACGTCATAGGAATTAATCTGAGTTTAGTGGGACATTTAAATAAAAATGAAGTAAGCACAGCAAGCTGTGGCATCACAGATTGGTGAAGGATCAATTCATCTATTTGTATTCTGTTATTTTTTTTTTTGAAAATGTATGTTAAATAATAAGCTTAAGAAACCTACAGGATTCCACAGTGCTGGAGCCAATCCCAGATGTGTTGTTCTAGATGGGTTGGATATTTTTTTTTCCCCTTTTGGCTTAATTTTTCTTGGAAAATAAACCAAACATTGCTGCTAGACCTCATGAACTCTGTGATTTGGCCAAGAATACTATCTAACCGTAGGACAATTGTTTTGAGAAAGCTGGGAAAACAAACAGAAAGACGTGAAGATTCTCCAGAGAATAGCCTTACAACGGCAATCCAGGCCACAGGTATTCCTCGCTTTACGACTGCAATCCAGGCCACAGGTATTCCTCACTTTACGACCGCAATTGGGATCAGAATTTCCACTGCTAAACAAGGCAGTTGTTAAGTAAGTATATGACTCTGAAATGCTGCAACCGTCATCAATACATACCAATTGCCAAGCGCCCAAATTCAGATCACGTGACTTACAGGGACATTGCCACAGTCGTAAATGTGAGGACCGGTTCATAAGTCAACTGTTTTCAGTGCCGTCGTTCCTTCGAAGAATTGCTGAGCGAATTCTTGCAAATCAAAGACTGTCCACATACCGCACTTTGCAAAGTCCAATCAGATCGGCGCTTTGCCTTTGCAAACTTCGGCTCAAACCTCATGAGGACTAGCTGCCTGCAGAGCCAAGCGCCATAAATTTGTGATACTTTAAGGCTAAACAATACTGTAACCGTTTTCAGCCTTGCTTCCCGAAGCCGTAAAAGGAGATTTTAACCTACCTTGGACCGGAGAACTAAAGAAGAAAAAAATGAAGAATTTTGCTCATTCGTCCGCCAGGGAAATCATCTTTTTCCAAGAAAAATCACAGCCAGAAATTAACACTTGAGTCGAAAAGTTTTATTTGCAGTCAGTGTTTAGCTCCAGCATTGCCAAAAAAACACGTTTCCCATTTCTTGTACTCCTTTTTTTCCTGTGTGTGTGTGTGTGTGTGTTGGCAGGCCCCTTCTTTTAAAAAAAAAAAAAATCTGTGCAAGCAGCTTTGGGAGAAAATGTTTATTTGGAAAAACGGAGGAGTCTGATTAAAAACAAATACTATTGCAGCGGGATTTGTGTGGGGTTTTTTTGTGTGTGTGTGTGAGCGTTTTCAGCCCAGAGCGAGCCAAAGTTCTGGGCCGGTGATTAAAGAGAGTGGATTTCTTCCAGGCCAGCCAAGGAAACCAAATAAATGGATGGATAAAAGCCAGGGAAACTTCACAGAACTTTGTTTTTATTGGCTCAGGGTTCCCCGTTTCTGGTCACATTCATACAACCAGTTTCCCCGAGTCGGTAGAAAATGTGAGTTAGTTCAGCTTCGGGGTGAGAATCCCGCCCGTTGGCATAATTTACAACTTGTGTATTATTATGCCAAGCCAGAATAGGGGGATTTTGATCCCCGGGTCAAACAGGTTGTGTGAATGCGGACTTTCACGGGTCAAGAAGGAAAACACACACAAACAGACTTTCTGCTGCCTTGAATCTGCCTCGGCTCCTTTTCCAAGTCAGATTAACCGTTTTCATTTTGATCGAGCAACCTCAAAGAGTCCCCAAGGCAGACCAAGGGATCTCTCCATCCGGTCACGTGGATGGTAAAGGTTGCCCTTATCAGAAACCAGGATCCGGCCACCTGCTTCCTGGTTTACGAGATCTTTTGTCTCCATCCAGGCTGGGCAGGAAGTGGCAGGAAGGCCGTTTTAATTGTGCCCCCATTCTGTTGTGATTTTGCAAATAGCTGACTTGCAATCCTCCAGAGATAGGTCATATGCCGACCGGCAAATCTTGGGCTGGACCAAAAGAAGATTTTGAACAAACCAGGATTGTTGTTGGGCTTGCCTTGGGGGGGGGGTGTGAGATTCTTGGGGTGGCTGGCTGTTTCCACCCACTCGTAACCCTCAACCCTGTTGTTGCGTTTGCTAAATGGGGGATGCCCAAACCGAACCCTATTTTGATTTGTACAGGCTAAATGAAGTTGGAAGGGACCTTAGAGGTCATCTATCTCAACCCCCTGCCCGTTGCAGGGATCTTCCATTTCGGTGACAGCCATGTTCACTAGGGAAGAGAGACTCTGCTCCCACCAGGAATTTTTCCCCTTCCCATTTGAAATCTACTTCCCTACAATTTCGTACTATAGAACAGCACATCTATACCTTGGCAGCTTTGAGATGGGTGGACTTCAATTCCCAGAATTCCCCAGCCAGCTGATGGATGACCTATTTTCCCTCCTCCCAACAGAAGAAAAAAGGCCTGAAAAAGTCCCATTCAGTTCTTACCATTAGGTAATTCTTCCTAAGGTCCAATTTCCATCTGCTTCTTTTCACCTGAATATCATAGAGTGTTAGGGATAGAGAGGTCCCTGAAGACCCCCCCCCCCCCGTCACCCGGCTGGCAAGTAAAAGACCCCCCCCCCAGTTCTGGTCTAGGTTAGTGTTTTCAGTCTTGGCAACTTTAAACTACTGGCTGGGGAATTCTGGGAGTGGAAGTCCACCCATCTTAAACCAAGCTGGCTGGGGAATTCTGGGAACAAGAAGTGATGGATGGAAACCGATCAAGGAGAGAAGCAACCTGGAACTAAGCAACCTGGAACCTGGTACAGGGTCTCCTGCTTGAGCTGGGGGTTGGACTAGAAGACCTCTGAGGTCCCTTCCAATCCAGTTTTTCTGTTTCTCCTGAATAGAAAACAGTAAGAGTTGGAAGAGGCCTTGGAGGTCTTCTAGACCAACCCCCTGCTCAGGCAGTAAACCCTATCCCATTTCAGACAAATGGTTCTGCAGTCTCTTCTTAAAGTTCTCCAGTGATGGAGCACCCACAACTTTTGAAAGCAAAACCGTTCCACTGGTTAATTGCTCTGTCAGGAAATGTCTTAGTTCTAGGTTGATTAGTTTCCATCCGTTGCTTCTTGTCCTGCCTTCGGGTGCTTTGGAGAATAGGTTGATCTGCCCCCCTTCTTTGTGGCAGCCCCTCAAATATTGGAACACTGCTATCACATCATCCACTGTCCTTTTCATTAAACTAGACATACCCAATTCCAGCAATTGTTCCTTATATGTTTTAGCCTCCAGGCCCCCAATCATCTTTGTTGCTCTTCTCTGCACTCTTTCTGGAGTCTCAACATCTTGTTTACATCGTGGTGACCGAAACTGGATGCAGGATTCCAAGTGTGGCCTTACCAAGGCTTTATAAAACAGTACTAACACTTCACACGATCCTGATTCTATCCCTCTGTTAATGCAGCCTAGAATTGTGTTGGCTTTTTTGGCAGCTGCAGCACACGGCTGGCTCATCTTTAAGTGATTGTCCACTAGGACCCCAAGATCCCTCTCACAGTTGCTACTATTGAGCCAGGTACCACCTATACCAGAGTTCCCTAACCTTTTGGGCACCGGGGACCCGTTCCGTGGCGAGAGGTTTTTCCACGGACCAGAGGGTGCGTGGTTTTGTGTGCTGCCTGCATCCCGCAGATGGGGCTTTGCTCGTTTGTGGGGACCGATTGCTGGCATGCCACGGCTCGGGGGGGGGGTTGGGGACCCCTGACCTACACCATCTTTGTGCATTTGGTTTTTCTTGTCTAAATGCTACTCAAGAACCATCCCCATATCTCCATCCGGGGGAATAACGCAAACCCACCCATACAGAAATTCTCCGTCAAAGTTGCTGGGTTTTTTTTTTTTTAAAGATATTTATTAACATTCTCACTTTCAAGAGGAAGAATTCCGACCTCCGCTTTTGCAAAGAGGCCCTTTTGCCTTTGTCCCTCTCGGGATTCCAGGCGTTATCAATTCAGCCAGATGTTGTTTCCTCTTTTTTTTAAAAAAAAAAATCCTGCCACCCAGCTTCGCTCAGGGCTGACTGAAAAATAACCCAAAACAATTGGCAATACAACAAGGGGCGTAATCAAGAATTTGAGGAAAGGGCCTCTCTCTGGCTGGTGACCAGTAATGTCGTTTTATTTCTATTTAAAAGGAAAAAAGGCCTCTTTCGCTGACACAAAACATTTCTGCAATCTGGCCAGGGGCCGTTCCAAGTTGCGA